ACCGGCGCCCATATGGGATGCCAGCGCTTCAGGCCAGGGTATTAACCCGCTGCGCCACAGGGCTGGCCCCTACACCACAGTCTTGGTTAGTTTGCTTTCAAGTTATTTTAGCAGTTTATTGACACCTCATGTGCGTATAGAAAAATACACAAAGTGTAAAGTCACAAAAGTGACACAGCCCTGCGCCCAGCATCCAGGATAAGAGACAGAACGTCTCTGGCTTCCCAGAATCCCTCCTCCCGCCCCTCCCAGGCCCTGCCTGCTCCCTCCTGCAGGGAAACCACTGTTTTCATTTCCATTGCCATGTGCAAGTTCCGCCTGGTTCTGAGTTCTTTTTTTTTTTTTAAGTCTATTTATTTTCATCTTCTTGAAAGGTAGAGAGAGCGAGCGAGAGAGAGAGAGAGAGAGATCTTCTGCCTGCTGATTCACTCCCTCAAATGGCCACAACAGCCAGGGCCCGGGCCAGGCCACTGAAGCTGGGAGCCAGGAGCTCCATCTGGGTCTCCCCCATGGGTGGCAGGGACCCACATATTTGGGCCACCTCGCACTGTCTCCCAGGCGCATGAGCAGGAAACGGGGCTGGAAGGAGAGGAGCAGAGCCTGGCGTCTGCCATCAGATCACTTTGAGCCTCAGTCCAGTGGGGTGCCCTCCCACACCCGCAGCAAGCAGTTTGCCAGGGGGTGTTTGTGTAGGCAACTCCTCCTGTCCCCTCTGATCTTCAGTCCATCCCGTAGGCGTCACTGTGTGATACACTGGGAAGGGCGTCTAGAATCTTCTCTCACCCTAGTCTATGCATCGCATCCGGAGATAGAGAGCGCTGACTCTTTATAACAGGTGAGGAAATCAGTAACTCAGAGAGGTGAAGTCACTTGTCTGGGGTCACACAGCATTGCAAGGGTCAGATCATAGACTCGAGTCCCACTGGCTTGACTCCAGACCCCAGGCTCTTGTCACCTCTCCACGTTGCTCCCCTGGCGTTCAGGCCCAGGCGTGAACAATCCCCTCCTGCCTCCTTCCAGCAGGGAGGAAGCTGGACCTTTTCCAAAGGAAACGCTGGGAAACACAAAACCCAAAACAGAAAACAGGGCAGGGATGGTTCCCAGGCCCTGGCTGCCTAACCTCGGGGGATGCAGAGCGAGCCTGCGCTGGGCTGGTGCATCGTGGGAGAGCGGCATCAGGCCATTGCCGGAGTGTCCACCACACCAGGTGCTTCAGTGGTCCTCAGTGCTGACGCTGTGCCTGTGAGGGAGCTGCCGCTTAACCCCACTTCCCAGATGCGACAACTGAGGCTCGGGTCAAGCGCCCTGCCTTAGACAGCAGCATGTGAACCAGGCCTTGAATGCTTTGATGCCTTCGCTGTGTGCCGCCCTGGCCCCGGTCTTCTCCTTGGCTCAGTTATTATCTGACCCACCTCCCTTCTCCTGTTGCTATGGAGACGTGGCCAGATGCTTTCTCTTGGGCGCTCAGAGATCCTGGGGTCCAGCCGGCTTGGCTCGAGGCTGGTCCGCTTGGGTCTCGTGGCCTCGGTTTCTTCATCTGGAAAGTGGGGCTGTTGCAGCTTTCTCTTATTCTTCAGGAGGTCAGCAAGGTCTCTGTGAATGTGGAGGGAGGAGGAGGCTCGGAGCCAGTGCACAGGCCCTGATGCAGGAAAGAACCTGCCCCACTGGATGCCTGTGTGGCCGGGTCCCAGCGAGGCTCCGGTGCGGCGGCAGGTGTGAGCCGGAGCCTGACCGCAGGGCATTGTAGGTGATGATGAGGAATGTGGACTTGAACCCAAGGGCAGTGGGGAGCCGAGGGAGGGTTGAAGCAGGGCAATGCCACGGTCAAGTTTGTTTTCTAGGAGGATCTCTCTGGCTGCGGTGAGGCGAGAGGCCAACGCCGAGGCCAGTGCTGAGGCCTCTGGGTTTCAATATCCCTTTTGTATGGAGTAAGGTTGGGCGGTCCGCAGAGCAGACTTGATCCTCCAATTTCCCATAGAGGTCGCGTTTCCAGATTCAGGGTTTCATGTTACACAGAGTTATTCTTTCTGGAATGTGTCCCCCGAGCAACCCCCAGGACCCCGCATGGAAGGAGGGGCCCCTCTGAATGCAAGATGCACATGGATGCAAAGCAGCGCAGCGTCCCGGCCCCCAGCCTGGCCGGCCTGCCCCTGGCGTGGCCCGGCAACCAGCAGGCACGGCAGCGCACCGGAGCTGGGCCGGGCGGCAAACGCTGCTCACAACCGTGACGGCCGTCTGCATGTCCACTGGTGACCTGCTAGGCCAGGCCTCAGCAACAGGCCTCTGATATCAGTCGGCTCAAGGAGTCTGAAAATGAGCAGGGGAGGGAGCTGTCATGATACCCATCACACAGATGAGGACAGTGAGGCTGGGCGGAGCCCGTGGGTGGACGCTGCCCTCCGGCCGTGGCCTGGGGGTGCTGAGCAGCCAGGGGTGGGGGTGGGGGGCAGGTGCGGTGTGTTGTTGAGCTCAGCTGGACCCAGACAGCCCTGCCACTGTTCCCAGGGTGCAGAGAAGCCAGCGAAGTCAGTCCCGGCGTCCTGGCCTCCACCTCTGCTCCAGCCCACACAGCTGCACTGCAGTTACCCTCCCTGGAAGAGCCTGCTAGCTCAGGCCTTTCCAAGCCCAGGGAAGGGCTCCAAGCCCAAGAATCCTCTCCGTGGCCCCTCCCTGGCCGCATCTCATCCTCCCGCCCCTTGGCTGCTGGCGCTGTGCTGGCCTCGCGTCAGCTTCCCAGGCTTGGGACGGGCTGTTCCCTTGGCTGCAAGGCTGTCTCCACTCCCTTTCCCTCGCTCGCTCCTGCTGATCCTTTCCTTCTCAGTGAAACGTCACCTCCTCCCAGAAGCCTTCCTTCACCTCCTGGACCGGTCAGGCCTCCCCAGCTTGTGCTCTCCTTCATGGTGCGAGGGAGCTGGGTGTCTTCCTTATCCCAGTATTCCCTGCAGAAGGAGTGGTGGGGAGGGTGCCCTTCAGCGTCAGGTTGTGTGGGGGCGGGGGGGTCTGTCACATGGAGGGGGCCCCTCAGAAACAGATTAGGTCCACGTTGGGGCTGGCGTGGTGGCGCCTGGGTTAAGCAGCCACTTGCAACACTGGCATCCCATGGGAGCTCCAGTTCGAGTCCCAGCTGCTCCATTTCTGATCCAGCTCCCTGCCAATGCGCCTGGGAAGTCAGCAGAAGATTGGCAGGGGCCCCTGCCTTCCACCTCGGAAACCTGGATGGAGATCCAGGATCCTGGCTTTGTCCTGGTCCAGCTCCAGCCTTCGCGGCCATTTGGGGAGTGAACCAGCAGATGGATGACCTCTCTCTGTCTCTCCCTCTGTCACTCTGCCTTTCAGATAAATAAAACAGATCTTAAAAAAGAAAAGAATGTGGCCCACGTTGTGCTGGCTCGCTGGGTGGGGAATCGCTGAAGGCGGGAAGCCCCTCCCCATCCTGGAAGACTGCTGACTGCATGCACTGAACGGAGTCGCCCCGTTTCCCTCGTCCCCTCCACCCCCTTCCCCTTCCCTCGTCCCCTCCGCCCCCTTCCCCTTCACCCAGGAGCGCCTCGCTTCGGGAGAAGCAGGCGTGGGCTCAGCACCCATGCTGGGAGGATGCACGTGCAGCCTGGGACTGGCTGGGCTCCAGGGGAGCGGGCAGTGATCTGGGGAAACCAGGGCAGCAGGTCTTCAGGTGGAGGAGGGAGAAAAGGTGCCTGGGAGGTGGTGGATGGCACAGGGCGAGGAAAGAGGAGGCTGCTCCCTGGATTTTTTTTTTTTAAGATATATTTATTTATTTGAAAGTTGAGTATTGGGTGCGGTGGAGTGTGTTTGAGAAAGAGAGATTGATCTTTCATCTGCTGGTTTACTCCCCAGATGGCTGGTTCAAGCCGAAGCCAGGAGTCTGGAACTCGATTGGATCTCCATGTGAGTGGCTGGGGCCCGGGTGTTTGGGCTGTTGTCCGCTGCCTTCCCAGGAAGCTGGATCTGAAGTGGAACAGCTGGGACTCAAACTGCTGCTCCAGTACGGGACACCAGGGTCACAGTGGGCAGCTTAACACCAGCCCCTTCCCGTGGATTCATGGTAGCAGCTGTGGAGACAGCTCCTAGGGGCGCGTGATGGCCTTACACAGTGCGAAGGGACAGAGGGTTTGGCTGGAAGTCTGGTGGCATCAGAAGCACCCAGTGAGTGCTTGTGACTGCCAGGATTCTGCCCTCCAGGCCTTGCGCCCGGGCCTGCAGGCCTGCTGCCCCGGGGAGGGCTCCTTGTGTGGGAAATTGGGAGGCAGCAGGCCAGAGGGGACCCTGTGAAAGCAGAACCGTTTCAGGGAACTGGGGTGCAAGAGCAATTTAAAAAATCTGCTTTTGACCATTTCTTTGAGCAGCTCCTAACTTTTAAATAAAAGAATGTTAAGCACAATCAAAACACAGCCTTGGGGTGGGCATTTGACCCAGCAGTTAAAGTGCCAGTCACGCCCAAGTCCCACAGCGCAGGATCTGGGTTCAGTCCCTGGCTCCGGCTCCTGCTCTTGCAGACCCTAGGAGGAAGCAGGGTCCCTGCCATTCATGTGGGAAACCTGGATTGAAATCTTGGTTCCCGGCAGCCACTTCCCAGCAGGCCTTGCAGGCATCTGGGGAGTGAACCAGTGGATGAGTTCTCTTTCTCTCTCCCCCTCTACCTCTCAGATAAAAAGTTTTTTTTTTTAATTTTTAAAATATTTATTTATTTGAAAGAGTTATTGAAGGAGGGAGGGGGAGAGAGAGAGGGAGAGAGGGATCTTCTGTCAACTGGTTCTCCCCCCATCCTCCCAAATGGCTGCAACAGCCAGGGCTGGCCAGGCCAGAGCCAGGAGCCAGGAGCTTCCTCCAGGTCTGCTGCCTTTCCAGGTGCGTTAGCAGAGAGCTGGATTGAAAGTGGAGCAGCCAGGACACGAACCGGTGCCCATATGGGATGCTGGTGCTGCAGGTGACAGTTTTACCTGCTATGCCACAACACCAGCCCCACCCCCCAAAAAAAGTTTTTTTTTAATGAGCTTTTTTTTTTTTTAAAGATTTGACTTATTTATTTGAAAAGCAGAGTTACAGAGAGAGGAAGAGACAGAGAGAAAGGTCTTCCATCTGCTAGTTCACTCCCCACATGGCCACAACTAGGCCAGAGCTGAATCCAGGAGCCAGGAGCTTCTTCCAGGTCTCCCATATGGGTGCAGGGGCCCAAGGACTTGGGCCATCTTCTACTGCTTTCCCAGGCCATAGCAGAGAGCTGGATCGGAAGAGGAACACCTGGGACTTGAACTGGCGCCCGTGTGGGATGCCGACACCACAGGCGGAGGCTTAGCTTACTGCAGCACAGTGCCGGCCCCTCGCCTGGTTTTTGAATGTTTCCTTTGTCATCACCAGGGCACTTTCGCAGAGGCTCAGCACAGTTTTCTAGCACACGCTCCCCACGTCTAAGGTGTCTGATTTACAAATGCCTGTGTAATTATCCCAAGGCACAGATACCTACCTGTTGAACACTAGCCCACTAAGTTACTTTTATTCTCCTCATACGAATAAATTCATCACTCATCATTGGCTCAGCATTTGTAGTGCGTTAGGAAGGGGGCTGTAAAAGGCTTGCCTGCAGCTGTATCCAACACCCCCGAGGGTAAGACCACACTCCCAGAAGTTCTAAAACTGTAACAAAATTACTTTATCTTCCTTTTAGCCTGTTTACCAAGTTACCGTGATTAACACCCAAAAGGAGCATGGAGAGAGGTCCTTTCAGGCTAATGTATCTTTCCCAAGAGGCTCCTGTTGGTCAAAACGAAATAATGGGGGCTGGCGCTGTGGCATAGTAAGGCTAAACTTCCCCCTGTGGCACCGGCGTCCCATATGGGCACCGGTTCGAGTCCCAGCTGCTCCTCTTCTCATCCAGCTCTCTGCTGTGGCCTGGGATAGCAGTAGAAAATGGCCCAAGTGCTTGGGCTCCTACACCCACGTGGGGGACACTGAAGAAGCTCCTGGCTTTGGATTGGCTCAGCTCCAGCCATAGTGGCCATCTGGGGAGCAAACCAGAGGGTGGAAGACCTCTCTCTGTCTCTCCCTTTCTCCGTTTGTAACTCTACCTCTCAAATAAATAAACCTTAAAAAAAATGAAATAATGGAGAAAGTGTCCCATAATACAGCACGTTCTGCAAGGAATCGAGTATAAGGGATGATTTGGGAGAACAGCCCTGCTTTTTATTCTGGCTAAGAGTTACAGCCGCAGAAACAGCTAGCATTTGAGTGGGCATTGTGGCGCCCCAGCATCCCCTATCAGGCTGGGATCAAGTCCCGGCTGCTCCGCTTCCAATCCAGCTTCCGGCTGATGCATCCTGGGAGGCAGCAGGTGACGGCTCAAGTGCTTGGGCCCCTGCCACCCATGTGGAAGACCCGGATGAAGTGCCAGGCTCTGGGTTCCTGTCTGATCCAGCCCTGGTTGTTGCAGGCATTTAGGGGAGTGAACCAGTGGATGGAAGATTCTTTCTCTCTCCCTCTCCCTCTCCCCCCCCCCTCCACCCCCCTCTCTCCCATTCTTGCTGTGCCTTACCAGTACATGAAAATAAAAACATTTTTAAAAAAGGAAGCAAGAAGCTCAGTTGGTTGGGACCCACCCCAGCCCGGCACTGCACTCTTTACTTCCCACGTGCGTTCACGTGACAGCCTTGTGAGGAAGGCTCACCTGTTGTTCTCAATCTACAGACAGTCTGCGGCAGGTGCACACACATGCTGGCGGCCACATGGGTATTGGTAGGTGGATCTGGGATTTGACCCGTGTCTCCTGAGCCCAGACTCTTAATCACCATATCACTCAACCCTGATCTGCCGGACTCACGGCTGCTGGGAGTGCCCTAGCCTGCCTGGTAGTCAGGTTTGCTGGGTTCCTACCTTGCACCTGCCAAGGTGCCTGCAGCACGGGGGCCAAACCCAGCTTGGTTCGCTCTTCCCAGTTGGTGGTCCCTCCCAGGGTGCAGGCTGAGGCATCACACCTGGCTCCTCCTCACCCCTGCTCGGGCAGCTTACAACCAGCTTACAGAAGAAAAGCGTACTGGCAGGAAAGTGATCTCTTCTTTGGGTCTCGTTTTCCAGCACAGGGGACAGCGTAGACGCCAGGCACCAGACACTGGGTTGCCTCTGCCTTTGCTGAGCAAAGAGGCTTCAGAAGTTTTTATTTTTTTAATTATGGAAAATCTCAAACATATATAAAAGTAGGAGAACATACCCATCACCAAGATTCAACAATCATAACTCATGCCGAGTCTTGCCTCTTCCTTATCCCGCCCCAGTCCCCCTTGCCTGGTGCATTATTTTAAAGCAAATCCCAGACACTGTACATTTCAACTGGAACTATTTCTAAAGGAAGAGGGAATCTTTGTTAGAAAGTAGCCAGGAGGGAGCCACTGGCGTAAGCATTCTCTAGGCAGTGTTCCGTTTTCTCTGATTGTCTCCGAAGTGTTTTTCACATCTTACAAAAGCTGGGGCCAGCGTCGTGGCACGGCAGTTTACTAAGGGTAGGACTGAAGAATCTAAAAGTTTTAAAGATTGAGGTCGGTGTTGCGGCGTAGCGGGTAAAGCCGCAGCCTGTGATGCAGGCATCCCATATGGGCACTGGTTCGAGTCCTGGCTGCTCCACCTTTGATCCAGCTCCCTGCTAATGCACCTGGCAAGGCAGTGAAGATGACGCAAGTGCTTGGGCCTCCTGACCCCCTGCCCATGTCGTTTGTGAAGGAGACCTGGTTGGTTGTGCTATGGCGTGTCCCCCCGCCTGAATTCCTGGCTTGTATTCCCATGAGTCCTTAAACTTGCTCCTCTGTCCTCTGTGTCTCCTGCACTCAGATCTGGACAGTCGGTCAGATTCAGGTTCAAGTTTTGGCAATAGGTGCCTCACCTAGGTGTTGTGTCCTCCATCACGGGACCCTGAATGTTGGGTCTTTTTGAAAAGCCAGCAGTCACTGGTATTCATGGCCTCAATTTAGTATTTCATTAGGAATTATAAAATATGATGTTCTGGTTTTCTCTTTTTTTTTTTTTTAAATGGTTTTATTTGAGAGGTAGAGTTACAGAGAAAGAGAGAGTCAGAGAGAAAAAGTCTTCCATACACTGGTTCACTCTGCAAATGGCCACAATGGCTGGAGCTGGTCCGATATAATCCAGGAGCTTTCCTAGGTCTCCCACATGGATGCAGGGGCCCAAGCACTTGGACCGTCTTCTACTGCTTTCCCAGGCCGTTAGCAGAGAGCTGGAAGAGGAGCAGTCGGGACTCAAACCGGCGCCCATATGGAATGAAAGCTCCACAGGCAGGAGATTAACTGACTTTGCCACAGCGCTGGCCCCGCTGCCTTCCTTCTTCACTTGCTATCTGGGATACTTTTTTTTTAAAAAAAGATTTATTTATTTGAAAGAGTGACAGAGACAGAGAGGGAGACACACACACACACACACACACACACACACACTTCCATTTGCTGGTTCTCTCCTCAAGTGGCTGCAACAGCTGGCACCTGTCTGAGCTGCAGCCAGGAGCTGGGAACTCCATCCGGGTCTCCCACATGGGTGGCAGGGATGCAAGGGCTTGGGCCATCCTCTGCTGCTTTCCCGGTGCATTGCAGGGAGCTGGGTCAGAAGCAGAGCAGCTGGGATCAGAACCTGCACTCAGATACGTGATCAGCATTGCAGGTGGCGGCTTAACTTGCCGCACCACGGTGCTGGCCCCAGGAGCTGGAATACTTCAAAAAGTGCACCTTCTCACGAACTCTTTGGTAAGATTTCATTCAAAATGTACTCTACGAACAGTCCAAAGGCTTGGTCCTTAAGAGCGCCCACGAGTTGGTTTCCTGGCACCTAGGAGTTCTGTGTTGAGTTATTTTTAGTGCCATTGTGTACATGGGGATTTGATATAGTTTGATGTGTTTCTTTTTTTTAAATAATTTTTTATTTAATAAATGTAAATTTACAAAGTACAACTTTTGCATGTTGTGGCTTTTTCCCCCATAAACTCCCTCCCACCCACAGCCATCCCATCTCCCACTCCATCTCCCATCCCACTCTTCATCAAGATTCATTTTCAATTATCTTTATATACAGAAGATCAACTTAGTATATACTAAGCAAAGATTTCAACAGACTGCACCCACACAACCGCACAAGATACAGAGTACTGTTCGACTAGTAGGGTTTTTTTTTGTTTGTTTGTTTTTTGTTTTTGACAGGCAGAGTGGATAGTGAGAGAGAGAGAGAGACAGAGAGAAAAGTCTTCCTTTGCCGTTGGTTCACCCTCCAATGGCTGCTGCGGTTGGCGCGCTGCGGCTGGCGCACCGCGCTTATCCGATGGCAGGAGCCAGGTACTTTTCCTGGTCTCACATGGGGTGCAGGGCCCAAGCACTTGGGCCATCCTCCACTGTACTCTCTGGCCACAGCAGAGAGCTGGCCTGGAAGAGGGGCAACTGGGACAGAATCCGGCGCCCCAACCGGGACTAGAACCCGGTGTGCGGGCGCCGCAAGGCGGAGGATTAGCCTAGTGAGCCGCGGCGCGGGCCGGGTTTTGTTGTTTTAAAATGATTTATTTGAAAGTGAAAGAGAGAAAGATCTCTGCTCATTGGTTCTCTCCCCTAATGGCCACAACAGCCACAGGTGGGCCAGGCTGAATCCAGGGGCCAGGAACTCCGTCTGGGTCTCCCCTGTGGGTGGCAGGGCTCAAGTCCTTGGACCATCATCCTCAGCTTTCCTAAGAGCCTTATCAGGGATCAGAATTGGAAGTGGAGTAGCTGGGACTTGAACCAGCGATCCCATAAGGAATGCTGATGTCACAGGTGGAGGCTTAACCCACCGTGCCGACCCACTCCCCCACCCCCTTTTTAAAAATGAAGTACATCCTAAGTCATGTTTGCTAAACTGGACAGCGACCAAGCTGTTCTTCAACAGGTGAACGGATGAACAAATGGTGACCCATCTGTATGGTGGAATGTAATTCAGCCACAGAAAGAAATGGGCTTTCAAGCCATGAACTTAACTCCATAGTGCCGGGTCACAGAAGCTGACCTGAGGAGTCTAGACATGAGCGATTCCCACAATGGGACGTTCTTGAAAAGGCAGAGCCGTGGGGGCAGTGGAGAGACCCGGGGCTGACAGGTGCTGGGGAGCTGGCAGGGCGGGGGCGGGGGGCACAGAGGACTTCTCAGAGCAGTGAAGCCCTTGGTGCTATAGCAGTATCAGTAGTATCCTCGTCCGTGATTTCATTTGTCACAGCGTCAGTGACCTGTGGTCAACCACGATCCAAAAATATTAAATGGGTAATTCTAGAATTAATTCTGGCGTTCTGAGCAGAGGGAAGAAATCTCTCATCATCGTGGCCCACCCTCCCCTGCCCCTGGAACGTGAATCTTCCTTTGGTCCAGCGTGTCCACACTGTATCTGCTACCCACCCGGAGGCACCCAGCGGCCGCTGCGCTCAGATCAGCTGTGGTCGTGTTGCTGGCCTGCATCCTGCATCGTGTGGCTTGTCCGGTCTCCTCGGGCGGGCATCACAGTGAACGTAAAACTGCTAAAAAAAAAAGTATTTTTTAAAAAAATCATGTTTTTTTACAGACAGTTCTAATTTAGACTCGGGATTACAGCCTTTTTATTGGCCTCGTCTGTCTTACATCTGTCCTTTCTTGCGTGAGAACTGTCCCTTATTCTCAGTTCCCAGTGAGAGGTTTGCCACATGCACCACCCACCCTGTCTTCGCTGTTCACGCCGCTGTGACAAAATGCCTTAGACTGGGTCACTTACAAACAAATTGACTGCCACCATTCTTGGAGGCCAAGGCCAGGGCACCAGCATGTTTGCTGGGTGATGAGGACCCTTGGCTTCCTAGCTGGGCCCGCAGCTGGCCAAAGGCAAGAGGGACAGACAACTCCCATAGGCTCCTCCTCCTCCTTCTTTTTTTAAAGATTTTTAAATTTATTTTCCTTCAAAGTCAGAGTTACACAGAGAGAGAAGGAAAGGCAGAGAGAGGTCTTCCATCCACTGGTTCACTCCCCAGATGGCCTCAATGGCCATCTTCTGGGTTTCCCACACGGGTGCAGGGGCCCAAGGACTTGGGCCATCTTCTACTGCTTTCCCAGGCCATAGCGGAGAGCTGGATCGGAAGAGGAGCAGCTGGGACTCAAACCGGCGGCTATATGGGATGCTGGCGCTTCAAGCCAGGGCGTTAACCCACTGCGCCACAGCACCGGCCCCTCCCATAGGCTTCTTTCAATTGTTTTCAAATAAAACTTTGTGGGGCTGGTGCTGTGGTATAGTGGGTAAAGCCACCGCCTGCAGTGCCAGCATCCCATATGGGTGCCAGTTTGAGTCCCAGCTGCTCCACTTCCGATCCAGCTCTCTGCTGTGGCCTGGGAAAGCAGTAGAAGATGGCTCAAGTGCTTGGGCCCCTGTACCCATACGGGAGACCCAGAAGAAGCTCCCAGCTTCTGGCTTCAGATCGGCCCAGCTCCGGCTGTTGCGGACGGTTGGGGAGATGGAAGACTCTCTCTTTCTCTCTGCCTCTCCTTCTCTCTGTAACTATTTCAAATAACTCTTTAAAAAAAAAAAAAAAAAAACAAAAAACAAAAAACAACAACAACAACAACAAAAAAAAACCTTGGCCGCAGCTCACTAGGCTAATCCTCCGCCTTGCGGCGCCGGCACACCAGGTTCTAGTCCCGGTTGGGGTGCCGGATTCTGTCCCGGTTGCCCCTCTTCCAGGCCAGCTCTCTGCTGTGGCCTGGGAAGGCAGTGGAGGATGGCCCAAGTGCTTGGGCCCTGCACCCCATGGGAGACCAGGATATGTACCTGGCTCCTGCCATTGGATCAGCGCGGTGCGCCGGCCTCAGCGCTCCGGCCGTGGCGGCCATTGGAGGGTGAACTGACGGCAAAGGAAGACCTTTCTCTCTGTCTGTCTCTCTCTCACTGTCCACTCTGCCCGTCAAAAAAAATTTTTTTTAATTATTTTTGTGTTTGCTTATTTCATTTATTTAAAAGCGGAGAGAGAGAGGTTTCCCATCTGCTAGTTCACCCCCAGATGCCCACAGCAGCCAGGGCTGGGCTGGACTGAAACCAGAAGCTCAGAACTCATTGTGGGTCTCCCCTGGGCCGCAAGGACCCAAGCACTTCAGCTGTGACCTGCTGCCTCCCGGGCTACCATTCGCAGAAGCTGGAGTCCGGATCACAGCCAGGACGCGACCCAGGCACTCCGATGCAGGATGCGGGATGCAGGATGCAGGATGTGGGCGTCTCCCGTGGAGTCCTTCCAGCTGCCCACACGCCCACCCCGGCCCCTTTTGCAATTCTACTCGTGAGGGTGGGGCTGTCGAGACTCAGTCACCCTCCGCCAGCCCTTCCTCCGACGGCCGCATCAGAGATGAGGTGGCCACATCAGAGATGAGGTGTCCACATGGATTTTCGGGGGGGATGCAAGTGTTCAGATCATGGTGCCAGAATAAGCTATTTATTTTTTTTCTTCTGAAGTTTATGTATTTATTTTGGTTTTGCCTTTAGGGACTATTTTATTAGGAATGGACGATCAAAATGACTGTGCTTTGGCCACTTGCAGTAATTCTTCTCTGTGGGGTTCTGTCACCAACTGGCCGTAAGGTAGCTTATTTTATTTTTCTGTTTTGCTTTGGATCTTGGGTGTTTCTCTCTTGGACAGCTCCCATTATTGCATGGTTTTGTAAAATATTACTCTGATTTCCAGGTCAGGTCCACAAAGAGGGGGCAATGTGGGTCCTCTCTCTTCCCATACACCGGGCTCTGCACCTCTTCCTTCAGGTAAATTGTGCTGCTCCAAGCTTTGGGTTTGTCCTTCCCTTTTTATTTATTTTTTATTTTTTCAACAGATTTATTTGTTTATTTGAAAGTCAGAGTTACACAGAGAGAGAAGGATAGGCAGAGAGAGAGAGAGAGGTTCACTCCCTGGTTGGCTTCTATGGCCAGAGCTGTTCCGATCTGAAGCCAAGAGCCAGGAGCTTCCTCCAGGTCTCCCATGCGGGTGCAGGGGCCCAAGCACTTGGGCCACCTTCCACTGCTTTCCCAGGGCATAGCAGAGAGCTGGATCGGAAAGTGGAGCTGCCGGGACTCGAACCAGTGCCCATATGGGATGCTGGCACTGCGGACGGCGCTCTACCCACTACACCACAGCACCAGCCCCTGTCCTTCCATTTTTAAAATTTAAGAGCTCCACTCTTCTTAGATACCTGGGAGTATAATTTACAAACTCTCCCCAAGTTAGAAACCCGATTCCTTTGTAATCCAGCGCCAGATGTTCGCAGAGAGAGGCCTGACCTCAGACTTTAATCTACCCAATTTGAAATAAATTATTTCTACTTTTTGTCGAGGGTCCAGGGCTATTTCCAGGCATTGTACAAAGAGCTTTCCACATGTTGGCTGCGCTTCAAGCAACCCCGTGGGGGTAGGGATCATCCCCGCACTTCACAGCAGAAACCAGCGCCGAGCCGAGTCGGGATTCGAGCTGGCGACTCCCTGATGTCACTCACTGGCTGGTAACTGGAGGATCCGCCGCTGTTTAAGACCCCACCGCAGAGATGGGGCGTGTTGGTCAGCTTTTAGTTAGCACAGTGAAATGCCAGAGCCGACGAACGTTAGCAAGAGAAATGGGCTGTTCAGCGTACAGTTCTGGAGGTGCAAGTCCAAGACCGGGCGGCCCTGGTGGTTTGGGCTCCCGCGAGGACCGTGGATGGACAGGTGCAGGAGAAGAAGCGTGTGGCAAGCCAGGCAGTGACAGCGAGAGGCTGGGACCAGCCCGGCTTTGACAGCCAGCTTCTCCTGCAAGCCCCTCGTGGCCTGAGCCTCCCCACCATGTCCACCTGCTAAACACCCCACCTTCTGCGAACCGAGGCCGTGTGCTATGAAGTACTGCCTGAGCTCACACCTCGGCTGAGGGGTGCAGAGGTGACCCCGACAGGGTCCTGTCCTCTCGGGGCTCCCGTCCGGCGGGGCTCCCGTGTCTGGACTGATGGTTGTCGCGTAGGACTCTGTGTATATCTGCAGAGGAAGGTGCTCCATGGGAATCTGCATCCAACCGCTCTGAGCAGGATCCAGCACTGCCAGCACCGCTCAACCACCTGCCATAGCTCCCCACTGCCCGGGGGCAGAGCCCACACTCTGGAGCTGCCTGTGCTCCTGCATGGCTTCACCCTGACAATGACCCTGAGAAGTCGACGCTGCACTCCCTCTGAGCCAGAGCCCAGCACAGCAGCAATCACTGGATGTTTGTTGAATGAAAAATAAAGTTACATGCTTGAGGTTGTTGTGGAAGTCTTATGCCTCATGGACTCAGGAACCTTTGTAAAAGATTAATAACTTTTAAATGACTATAATAACCCTCATTATAGAAAATTTGGAAAGCATAGAACTAAAACAGGAAAAGTAAAAACAGGAGGAGGATGTATCATTATATTCTTAAAACTGTATATGAAATACATGAAATCTGTTTTCTTTATATAATAAAGAACTTTATTTTAAAAATGAAAATAAAAACAATCCATCAAATGAACCCACAGAGTTATTCTTCTTGCTTATTCCTTTGGTCATTTTTATATGTGGGTAGCCTCTCTTTAAAGATTTGTTCATTCAAAAGACAGAAAGAGAGAGGTAGAGAGAGAGAGAGAGATCTTCCACCCACTGCTTCGCTCCCCAAATGGCTGCAAGAGTCAGGGTTGGGTCAGGCTGAAGCCAGGTGCCAAGAGCTTCATCCAGTCTCCCACGAATGTGGCAGGGACCCAAGCACTAGGGCCTTCTTCCACTGCCTTCCCAGGTGCATGAGCAGGAAGCTGGATTGGAAGAAGGGCAGCCCACACTCAAACCAGCACTCCAAGACGGGATACTCGTTGTTGTAAGCAGTGGCTTAACCCACTGTGCCAGCGCCAGTCCCGAGTACATTTTTTTTGGATCATAGGTATCAGTGGTTTGCATTTTAAAACATAAATTTAGCAATGGATCGTGAACATTTCCCTAACTGACCATCCCTTTAAAAACCTAATTGCCTCCTTAAGGATTGGGTTTATCTGCCGGTGATGAGATCCTTTACCAAAGTCATTCTAAACCCAAGATTAAAGCTGAACTCAACAGGGAGAACAGTTAGCAGGCTTTGAGGTTGCAGCACCGACTGCACAGTCCTTCCCCAGCGAACGCCCAGGGAAGTCCAGCAAGGACATCAGCAAGAGGCACCAGCCCTGCTCGGTCCTTTCATACTTGGAGTTGTGTCACCAGCACGTTGTGTTTCTGTGGTTCTGCTCGCTGAGAGCACCACAGAGCTCTGTCTTGGCTGCAGAGAGGACCTGTCCATACAGGCATCACAACAGGCGACTCCGGCCGGCTCTGGAGCCAGACCTTAACTTGAGTCCTGCTCCACCCAGGACGGCTGTGTGACCTTGGCATGGAGTGTCACCTCTCTGCTTCAGTTCCCTCACCTGCCACATGGGCAGCGAGTATGCCCACCTTTCCAGGCGTCTTGAGGGATCGGTAGCCCAGTGCCTGATCCACGATCAGCCACCAGAAGCATCGGCTAGTATTGTTACCACCACCCCTGTGTGACTGAAACTTCCTTTTTATTCCCCTGAATTGCACTCATCATCTAGGGTGTCAGGGTTGCCCTTGGCAGTGAGCCTGGATAGGAAGATAAACCAGGCCTTATGAAATACCTGGATGGCTGCCCCCTTCTTGGCTGGACAGACTGGGTACAGGTGTCCCAGCCAGGCACCACAAACCCATTGGCAGGAGCTTAGGCTTATTGTTTGGTCTCCAGATGAATTGAAATCATGTAAGTGATCATGGAGGGTGGTCTCCTGCACCCATACATTTATGGTCTTTGGGATAGAGTGATGGGGATTCACACCCCCACGGGCTTGCCTTTGACTTTGAACAAACTAGTTCCCGTCTCTGGGCTTGAGTGTCCCTATCAGTGAGCTGGAGATAGTTGTGGCGATGACTTCTTCCCCCCCCCCCCCCCCAAGCCAGCATCCATCACCTTGATCTGATTATTGCTTTGGGATGGCTGACTGGCTCCCACCCTGAATCCTGATTTCACTCTCCAGCTCCATGATTGGGTCAGGGGACCCAGGCTTCAGCCAATCACAGCATTCTATCACCTGCCACGGAGATTGGCTGCGGGGTGGTCATGTGACTCAAACCAGTCCAATCCCCGAATCTCCAGGCTTTGTCTTGAAGCCACGTGTTTCCCACGCCTTGCAGTGACCAGGAGGTGAGGAACCATGTTGCTCCCAGATGACGCTGGTTGTCTGGGGTTCCAGCTGTCCTGGAGGAGGGACAGCCGCGAGAAAGCAGACTGCTGGACAGCTCTTCCGTTGGCGGGACCAGCTCAGTCCCTTCTTCGCTGCAGCTGGTTGAGTTGGGTGTTGCTGCTCTCAGCTCAGCCAGTCCTGCCTAATTCTCCCTCAATTGTTACAGAGATTAGCTAAGAAAATATACACAAAGTCTTTGACACAGTGTTCGGCACAAAGTAAGCCCTTAATGCATCTCATTGTTTACATTGTTTACAAATTCACAAATGTAACAGTAGAAAAATGTGACAGCGCAGATAAAACAGAAAGGCACTCAGGAAACAAAAAACACACACAGTATTCCTAGGTAAATATTTTTCTTCAAGACATTTTCATATATATGTATATATAACCTAAAACAGGATTACCCTCTAATAACTCATTTGTAACCAGTTTCACTCAGGTATAAACCAAACGCATCATGAAGGCAGGCTTGCGTGTGCACTGCACGGTTGTTTGTAATGGCTACATAACATTCCATGTTTTCCTTGAATAGTCAGATGACCTGCAAGTTACTTTTGTAGTTACTCTGTACATAACACATTGGCATTCTCCATCAGATGTGGCCAGTTCATTGATATCTTTGTGCATTTCATAGTTGCCTAATGATGAGCTTTTTTTTTTTTTTTTGAGATTTATTTATTTATTTGAAAGTCAGAGTTACACATAGAGAGGAGAGGCAGAGAGAGAGAGGTCTTCCATCCAGTGATTCACTCCCCAATTGGCCATAATGGCCGGAGCTGCGCCGATCTGAAGCCAGGAGCCAGGAGCCTCCTTGGGGTCTCCTACGTGGGTGCAGGGGCCCAAGGACTTGGACCATCTTCCACTGCTTTCCCGGTCCACAGCAGAGAGCCGGATCAGAAGAGGAGCAGCTGGGACTAGAACCGGTGCCCATATGGGATGCCGGTGCTTCAGGCCAGGACTTTAACCCACTGCACCACAGCGCCAGCCCCTTCTTCTTCTTCTTTCTTCTTTTTTTTTTTTTTTTTTTTTTTAAAGATTTGTTTATTTGTTTGAAAGGCAAAGTTACAGAGAGTGAGAGAGGACAAGACAGAGAGAGAATCTTCTATCCACTGGTTTATTCCCCAAATGGTTGCAACAGCCAGGGCTGGGCCAGGCTGAAGCCAAGAGCCAGGAGCTTCTCCTAAGTCTCCTACGTGGGTGCAGGGGTCAAGCACGTGGACCATGTTCTGCTGCTTTCGCAAGCAGTGGCTTTACCCACTATGCTACAGCTTTGACCCCTAATGATGAATTTCTAAGGGAAGAATTGTGGAATCTAAGAATTTAAATATTGGGGCTAGTGTTGTAGCATAGTAGGTTAAGTTGTAGCCTGTGACCCCCGCATCTCATATAGGCGCTGGTTCAAGTCACGGGCGCTCCACCTCTGATCCACCTCCCTGCTAGTGCACCTGGGAAAGCAGCAGAAGATGGCCCGAGTACCCCTACCACCCATGTGGGAGGCTCAGCTGGAGTTCCAGGCTCTGGCTTCCATCTGGCCCCAGCCATTTAGGGAGTGAACCAGTGGGTGGAGGGTCTCTTTCTCTCACTCTCCCTTCCTCCCTCCCTCCCTTCCTCCCTCCCTCCCTTCCCCTCCCTCTATCTCTGTAATTCTGCCTTTCAAATAAATGAATCTTTTGAATATGAAAGTTTTAAAACTCAAAAAGCTTACATTGTGGTTTCTATTGAAATGTTTAAATTTTGAATCAAATGTACTATTAAGGATTTAGGGGGTGGGAGGGACGGTATGGGGGGGGAAGCCATTGTAACCCATGAGTCGTACTTTGGAAATTTATATTCATTAAATAAAAGATAAAAAAAAAAAAAAAGGATTTAGGGGCTGGCGCCATGGCTCACTTGGCTAATCCTCCGCCTACAGCGCCGATATCCCGGGTTCTAGTCCTTGTTGGGGAGTCGGATTCTGTCCCGGTTGCTCCTCTTCCAGTCCAACCCTCTGTTATGGCCCGGGAGTGCAGTGGAGGATGGCCCAAGTGCTTGGGCCCTGCACCTGCATGGGAGACCAGGAGGAAGCACCTGGCTCCTGGCTTTGGATTGGCACAGCTCCGGCCATTGCAGCCATTTGGGGAGTGAACCAATGGAAGGAAGACCTTTCTCTCTGTCTGTCTCTCTCACTTTCTGTAACTCTACCTGTCAAATAAATAAATAAAAATCTATTAAGGATTTAAATGCCTTTTCAAGACAGCAGGGAGTCCTGATCCATGGGCCCCAAATCTGCTGCAGCTCAGACATGTCTCAGTTCTGCTGTCACGGACCATGTGCTTGAGGGGCAGGGCCTGTGCTGGCCAGAGCTCGGGCATCACCAGCCTGGGGTGACAACGGGCCACACCCTGCCAGCTCTGAGCTCCTTGCTGCGCCCCATTCCTTCCAGCTGTTTCGTGGAGACCCCCAGGAGTGTCCAACTTGCACCTGCAGGTAAGGCCTGGTTGCCATTTTATTTTGAAAGAAAAAAGAAAAATTGTATTTGTTTGCAACTGACACGGTCATCTATGTAGAAAATCTAATGCTGCAAGAACCAGACAGTGAGCTTAGTCGTGTTGCAAGATACAGGATCCAAATACAAAAATCAATTGCATTTCTAGTTCCGGGCAATGAACCATCCCAAATAAAGTCATTTTAAGCAACATTAACGGAGCTATCATTCACGGGGGTCCCGGTGGCCATCTGACAGTTCCTGCACCCTCCCTCACCTGCTCTGCCATTGCACGGCTCAGCCAAGTCCACCACCGTGGCCACTGGCCGTGCCAGAATGCCACTGTTTCTGGCTGCCTCTGAGCCTCCTGGGGCCTTCTGGGGACAAGCGGTGCTGCTTCTGCCATGACCTCGGCGACTAATCTGCGTGGCTCCCCTTGGCCTCCTGGCCACACATAGCTGCTCTTCCCTGTGCCCTTCCTGTGCCCCGATGACCTTGGAGGAGAAGATGGGGTCACTCTCTGGCTCGTGCTCCCTGTGGGCCCCGCAGCAGGGTAGGTGTCTGGTTCATTCCGCGCAGCCCCCGTCTCCCCAGAAAGCAAACACATTGTCAGGGGCCTGTGCCCGCGCTCCCCTCTGCCACCCGAGTTGCCACACTGTGTACACGCCCCACCCAGCTGCCATCCCTCCGGCCTGGCTCCTCTCGAGGTGGAGGGGGAGGATTCTCTCTCCTGGGGTGCAGTTGCGGCTCCTCCCCAGCCCTGCTCTCACATTGCCCTGCCCCCCA